TGCTTGAATGACACAGGTCGCAAGGACCTACCGTTATTGGCAGCTCAGACAAAGCTTCGTGTGCTGGAGGGGGCAGGCGCCAGAAGCGACGATTGCTTCTGCAGTCCACGATTTTCGCCAGCTCCCGGCAGCGATGCCGCGGGGACAAGAACGTCGTCTCGCTCGCCGTGTTCATAACCGCGCTAAGCGAGATAGATAAGTCCCGGCTCCGTGAGCCCAAACGAGCCGCCACCGAAGATTGGCGTGCGCATGGGCACCCTACCGAGGCCATCACCAAACTTGGGTGGGCGTCTCGAAGAGCTGCAGAGCGTCGAACTGGGCACGCCGCAGGCGGCTACCAGATCGAAACCTAATGGGAGGAGCAATTCCGATGCACAAGAAGGCGGTCGTCTGGTTAGCCCCAAACAGGTTCAAGAGGCCGTGGCCACTTCTGTGTCAGGTTCCGCTCCCATGTGCGCCTCCCCGATACCCACTCTTTTGGACATGGGACACGCCTGCCGGCGCCAGCAAAAAGGGAAGGCCCCTGGTCCTGACCTTGTTCTGAACGAACTATGGCGCGAATCCCCAGCATATGCAAGGGAATGGTTCTGGGGGAATGTGTCACTGTGTGTTTTCGCATGGCGCTCTCGGGACATGAACCTGCACAATTTAAGCGCGCACTAGCTGCACTAACGCGTAACTATAGGTCGATCGCGTTATCAAACGGCATGGCACGGACATCTCCGTCGTACCGTCGCGCAGTCTGTGCTCAAAGGGTACGTAGTACGATGACCTCCATCTGGGAGGACGCCGTGGAATGCTCGTAGGTTTCGCAGTAACCGTTTACAGAGCTACCTGTGAGCTCAGTGCTCAGTGGGGCCGGAGCAATGCTGTGCTGTTTGTCGACATCCAGGCTGTTTATTACTATGAGGCGAGTCACCGGCTTGTGTTCGACGGAGACAGCTTGGATGACCCCAGTGAAGGCTTACCGACCGAGCACCTTGGGATACTGGCTCATGACCTCCTCAACACAGCGCCTTACAGTAGCTGGGAGTACCGGAAGAAGAACGGCTGTTACTTCAAGACGGTGTCTCGTGTTCCCATTGGAATCTGGTGTCCTGTGAGCATGTGTTCATGGCCACTCGGGGATCGCGTCCGGGTGACGGGTTGGCTGACATCATTTTCGGGGCACATTGCTCAGTGGCTTTGAACCGCATTGTCATTGGACGTGTCTGTGCCGCTGAGGGCACTGGTCACCGGGCCACCGGGGAGCTTATTTTGGATGCACTGACGCCATCCTCTCGCTCGGTTGGGCTGACGACTTGGCAATTTTGTCAGAAGGTCGAGTTGCAGCATCAATTTCCTCGCATTGCTCAAATCGTGATACTGAAGCCCTCCTTGAGGTCATTCAGGTCCGGAGAAGATCTGTTGTCAGGGGCTTCCGCCATCCTGCTTGGGACCGGTCAATATCTGTGCTTCGCTCCGGAGTACCGCTATCTCGGCGTCGCGCAGACGCCTTGGATGTCCGGACGAATCTTGCCAGCTGCCTACGCGACGCTTGCGACGTCGGTTGCTGTTTCTTCAAAAACCTGGAGCCCACTGAATGGCTTCTTGAGCGCGCAGCACGCGCATTAGTCGGTTCCTGGGCGTACGGACACCTGCTCGCCAAGCCAGTCTTGCTCGCCATACTGGGGCTAGAACACGCTGCCACCATTGCAAGAGCGCGATTGGTGATTCAGCTGGTTTCGAAGGCTCCCCAAGCTGTCTGCCCGGCCGCTCCTCAAGGCATGCCGACGTCTTAGTCGGTGGGCTACTCAGCTGCAGTCGCTCCGGGATGTCTGGAGCGATGTTGTTGTGCCCAGTGGCCAGGCAAAATTAGCTGTTCTGGACCAGGAACAAGTGCTTCAACGTCACATGTGTGGGGCTACGCTCCCCAGCCGACACGGCCTTGCCGACACTCTGTTGTCAACTGCGTTACCAGGTTTACGCACAGCAAAGCCTGCCTCTGGTGTCGCACAGAGCACCACTCCACTGACCGACTTAAATATCTCCTCAAGGTCAGCGCTGCCTGCATGCACGGCCTCCGTGTACAGACCGGCGAGGTTTATGAATATTCTTGCCGGACCCATCAACGCCACTCCTGCCCAGCGGCATGCGGCTGCCGAGAACCGCATCTGCACTGACGCAGAGCTCAGTGATGAGTTATTTGCATGTACCAGGGCTCGCGATGTTTACCAGTGGCCGGATGATGTCCAGGCCGCTCCTGCACCGGACCCGGTGGTCGCTTTCCCCATCAGGGCCGATGGATCGGCGCCGTCTCCAGGCCCTCCCACTCTGCCTTGTGCTCCAACGGAGAATGCCCTCTCCGTTATGGGCCGGGCTCCTAGCTGGCGCGTTCGCCTGCCAACTTCCGGCAACCTGGCACAAGTTCTGGCTTCTGTGGTACTCACTCCAGCATCACTCCCCTTGGTCGCCTTCCTTCTTCTGCGGCGCTCAAGTTTTGGGACGCTCGTGTCTGGCTGCCCTTCCAATCACAGCAACGGGCCACCCAGTGGTCTTCTCGACTTATTGACGGCCACTGTGACCCTTCGCACTGTCTGCTCTGGGCTGCAGTCGCGTGGTTTGGTTTGGATTTGCGGGGTGCCGAGTCGCCGGCATTCTTCTGTTACGTGCCCTGCTGCCTGAGGCCCACTTCCATACCATCTGGACCCCCGCGCCACCTGTTACTGCGCATGCATCCCGGTCTCCACCCTGCTGGCGTCAAGTCTCGTTTCCCTGTTCTCTTCCTCCTCTGCCGACTTTTCGCCTCGGGTCCTCCCTGTCCGTTCTTCTTGCATATACAGGACTCGGTCGCTGTACAGCAGCTGAGGCTGCTGATCGCCCGACACAAGTCGTTTCACGCTTTTTCATTTCTTTGGCCACGTCGCGTACAGCACGCGCGTTGTTGGCCTTGCATGGTAGGCGCACCGGACTCTCGGGACCGATTGGCGAGTGAGTGAGTGAGTTCGGGGTGTAGAGTTTGGAATCATCCATAACCAGGGATGGCCATAAATCACCATGTTTAGGGAAGTTTAGGGCACGGGGATCATGCTCGATTTTTGTCCATGAGCAGAAGCGTGGGTGTCCATAGGTTGATTGGAGGACTTTTCTTCAACTTCAAGATGCTGTCGGGAAAGAGGCTAAAAGCTCCAGTGGCTTAGGGTGTTGGCTCCCGGGCTTAAGGCCGTTAGGGCTTTCGGATCTTAGGTTCAGGTTTTAGGATTCAGGGTTCCGGCTACAGAAGTGACGTCTGCCCTGCGTCGAAGGCATTCAGCCAAGGCTGAGACACAATGTCGGCTTCGAGTGAGCTGAATCGAGGGGTGAGTTTTTGGCTGGAGCTGCGCATCACAGTGGACTCAATGGAAGTCTCGGTCAACTGAGTCTGTGGATCGCAGCTTCAGGATTATGTGAAAATTGCGAATGTTATGTTGTAGAACCTTCCATGGGCGCTTTAGGAGTTTCTCCCTGGACCCGCTGTGAGCTGCAAGTCCTTCCTGAAAATATCGCGGGACTTTTAGCAACCATCATCAGGACTAGCATCACTGCAGATCCTGTATTGCTGGCTGGGTGATGATGGCTATAGCTATAGTATGCCAGTACAGTCCGACGACAACATGACGAACCTTGCCTATAACTAGTTTTCAGCCACTAAGAGTGGAGGGTGCAAACACGACGTGCAGAAAAACAGGAAGGTTTGAGACACGCACTCCAAGTTATCCACTTGCATTAAGCATCCTAGCATATCCAATGCAGAGACCAGCTTCGCGTGTACATTTATGCAGGGCTATGCATTTGCCAAGTGGCCCAGTGACAAAGTCTTTTCCGCCACACTCCTGCAGGCTGTAGCTAGAATGTTGCAGGCCTTTTAAGTGCCAATCAGATCACCATGCATATACCGTGAATCCTACGGATGCCATGCCACGCGTCACGTTACGTCCATTCGAGGGTAGTCAGACCTTTGCTATCCCCATACCTTTTCAAGGACTTACCATAAGAAGCATCGGAGAGCTTGGGGTTTTGGTCATGTCAAGATGCACGCACGAGCGTCATTAAGTTCGGCCGCCGGAAACTGCAGCCCGGGCCATCATCTTGCTGAAGCGTGTGCCGTGCGACAGCCAAAGATATCCGCGTGAAAAGCCGCGACTTTCGCAGACAGACCGCATGGTGCAGACAGAGCCTCTGGATGCAACGGAAGAGGAGTGAGAAACAGAGGGGAGCGCTTTGGCGTAAGAGCGACGAGCAGCAGAGAGAGGGAGAGAGAGCGAGAGAGCGTGCGCACGCTTTGCGGAAATGGCATGGACTCGCTTTTTCCGAGTGAGACTACGTTTCAGCAAACCCTTCACGGCCCGGTGATTGTGTGCGTGCATTTGTGTTCAACTTTCGTGGATTCTGTGATTTCGCAGTAAAGAAGATCAGCTTGTTGTGGCACACTGTCTGTTTCTGGACAGCAGTAGCCTAGGCAAGCGAAACCAAGCCGTAGCCGTAAAATGTAACACAGGGCGGCGGCTGCACTGATGTGTGACCATACTACACAGGAGGCATCATACCCTAATTCAACGACAGAATATTATTTCAGTAGCAACCACGACAGTAGGAAGCATCATGGGCACACGTCTCATGCTTTTGAGGCCTACTCTCGCGTGGCCTGAGGCTCGTGGTGTGCTTTCCCCGTGTCAGGGGCATCAGATGCTGAAGTCTTGCCCTACGTCACCAAGACACTAAGATTTGAGGACTCGTTCCCATGAGGGTGATCACGACGGTTGTTGACTGCCGACAGTGTTGCTGCTATTGCTCGCTGTCGTTACTTTTGGTCTAAACCCCTACAGCTCCAACGACTACCGGGAAGGTGTGTTGTGCTAAACTGTCAGCTTTAGAGCCCGGAGGCCAGGCCAAACGGTTAGACAACGCATAGGAAAACCCTCCCAACAGAAATTGGAAATACATCAGAACACCCTCAACAAGTTCTTATGACCTCGCCCAAGGTCACGAATGTGGTGGATACCGTCGGGCCGGCAGTGGTTGCCGTGAAGCATAAGGATGGCCGGGGCCAGGCAGGGGCTTTTTGAAGGTTGTGAGTTGTAAGGTTTTTGTTGAAAAACGGGTTGGGCATTCCTTAAATCGATAAGCACCTTCATTGTTGGTGTTTACATGGGAGTCCCACATATATTTCTCAACCTCTCTTCCGGGGTTCCGCACTTGCAGGCTAGACATTTGGTTTGGCCTTAGAGTGGGGTGCGAGGCTTGTGGATTGAGTTTGGAGTTGGGGTTGTAGGGACAGGTGGTGTTTGCGGATTAGACTGAATGGACCTGGTCTGTAGAGCCGCTGGTTCTAGAGGTAAGAAGATGCTGTATGCTTTCTCCAACCGTGCTTAACCTAGTGAGGCAAAGTTGCGCGAAGCATCGAATTTCTTCGGACAGTGCTACAACTTGAAGCCGGATTAGAACGGGTAAGGTGATGCATCAGGATTGCAGATTCTGGTAGTCGCACTTATTAAGATGAGAGGGCTCTCGGCTCGATTTTGAATTTGTTTCGGAGCAGCGGAGAAACTTATGCGTTCAGCAATCCCGGTATGTGGCACGCCCTCAGGCATTGGGCACATGGGGCGGGCTTAACTGAATCCATGCCGTTAAGAAAAATGAGATCGAAGATAAGACAATCGTAAACGGCCCCTCGATTCGAGCGACAATACTTATCCCGAAGCTCATACAGAAGCAACATGAAGCAACTAACTGAAGCTCAGCCTTACCAAAGCATTAGAGCCCTAAGCCCAAATCCCATTCCAAACTTAAGACTGCAAGCCTGCTCAACGCAAAACCCTGAACCCCGAACCCTAAGGCCCTGAAGAAAGCCCATACTGACCTGCAAGGGCAGTGGATTTATCTTCAGCTCCGATGGGTACATCCTCACTAACGATCACGTGTCAGGGCCCAAGGCAGAAGCAACTCAAAACATATTTCTTGCACGGGTCCTGTAAGTATTTTTTTGGTTTTTCATGGGCTTTTATGTCAGGGCCCAAGGCGTCAGTAATTCAGTCCCGATTCTAGACATTAGCTTCGGCTTTCTTGGTGCGAGATTGCGAGGCTGACTCTATAATTCCGTTGGGCTTGTGTCTTCAGTATGTTCCACAAAGCCTTGAAATTTAATGAACCGCGGTGCAAGGGCCGCTTGTAGTTGGCCTTGTGGTTACCTCAGTGGAGAAAGCAGCTTCAGCAGAGAGTTGCTGTTGTGCCAGATGTTGTCTTTGTCATGCCCGGTCCTTGAATACCCGAGGGATAATCGGATAACTTGATGGTGAGCCCCCGCTATAGTGGCATTCGGGTACCATCAATCAAGTCTCGCCGGGCTCGGGTTGTAGACTGAGGCTGGGAGACGCATCTGGCTCGGAGATCATGGTGTCGCTTACAGATGTCCGTCACCCATCGCTGGAACTAACATCATGGCACATGACCTTGCCCTGTTTACGGACAGTCAGGAATCGCAAACTCGAAAACATGTCGAACCGCTTCGCATGGCCAAGGATACCGTGCTGCAAGCCGAACTAGTGGGGCGCGACCCACCCACTGATGTGGGCATCTTGCGCATCCCTTCTCGCAGCAGGCTTCTGACAAAGTGCTGAAGATCAAATCAATGCGCCCCCCCGTGCACTGTTGAAAAACTTTAGGCCGGAACGGTGTCCTTCCGCCAATTGGCAGGCCCTTACCAGCTGTCGAGCTGGGCGATTCGACGAAGCTGCGGGTTGGACAGCTCGTCGTTGCCATCGGCAATCCGCTCGGTGCGGCTTCCAAAGATTCGTTGAAACATGTTGAAAAGAGGGTCCGGGCAAGATCACAAACGACAGGGCAGCCCTACCTCGAAAGAATACAGTTTAAATTTTACACCCTAAACCCTACGCTTCAAGCCTGAATCTCTAAACCTTCAGCTGCAAACCCTAAACCGTGAGCCGCACGGCCTGAACCCTAAACCGTAAGACCTAAGCCCTAAGCCCCTGCCATTACGTCAGGCTACGCCAGCTCAGTGAGCTCTGGGGTCGTCTCAGCCCTTGGTCGGTCGCTGCGATCGCAATCAGGCCGGCTGGTTGTGCGGAGCTCAGCTTGCAGAGTTAGGATGTAAGGTATATGAAGAGCTTAGCGGCTTACAGGGCGTAGGGTTTCACTGGGGCTAGGGCTTAGGGCAGCAAGGTTTAGGGTTTACAAAACTTGAGGAATTGGATTTGGAAGCGGATGGTAGCATGTGCCAACAGCCCTCGCAGCGCTTTGAGTCTATCATCAATAATTCGGAAGACAGAACCCAATGCACGATGCATGATGAGATGACGGTACCTAAATATGATAAACAGGGAAGAAGCCTGGGACGAACGCACAATCGCCTTGCATCTGAGGACAACATCATCCAGTGCCAGGCTTAGCATAGTGTCCACGACTGGTAAAACCTAAGCACCCCGCTTCTTCACACCTCTAGGACGGACACCGCCATCAATCCGGGTAACTCCGGTGGCCCGTTGGTGGACGCCAACTGCAAGGCCCGCGTTTGCAGATGAAGCTTGGGTAACTGCAGGCTCGTGAGTGGGCGTCGGGAGTTGAATGGGTGTGGGGGGGGGGGGGTCCTTCACAGGGTTTGGCTTTGGATGCTTAGTGAGGAAGAACTTAACAGAATCGAGATAAGCAGACAGAGCGGCTCATGTGCTTTCCAGGCGGTGGGCATGAACACAGCCATCGTGGCCGGGACTGCTGCGGGTTGGGACTCTGATTTTCCGATCTTGCTGCGAGGAGTGCACTGAGGTGTTCGGAAGCCGTCAGAGGGTGTGTAGGCTCTGCATGGCTCTGCGCCTGGCTGCGTTTCCCTGACACTTCACCTGGCCCCTTGCGTGGAAGCCAAGATCTTGTTTCACCCATCGTGGCACTTGGCTTCTGTTCGACGGCAGTTGGACCAACACGTAGCGACACGATCCCACGTAGATGCACTCTCCAAACGGCCCTTCAAACCAGCCCATCAGCATTGTTGTTCTGCATGGCCATTCAGGAGCCAAGGTTTGGCATTTGCAGTGCCATCGAACACGCTCTCCTTCGAAGCCGGGCTGCACTTGCCAATTCTGATTCCAGGCTTTGCAGAGAGAGCATATCCGAACTTCCGGGTCGTTACACGGTGTGTACTGGTTTGTGGAAATGGCATGTTGGGTTGGGGGCACAATGGCCGTTAGCCTCTTCGAGCAAACCCAACGAAGACTTAAAGCTGAAATCCTGAACCTCAAGAAATACGTAGTTGTTGCACCCTGAGCCCTCAAATTTGACAACCAACACCAACTTTGAAATCCGGAGCCCTAAACCCCGCCAAACCCTGAGATCCTTTCTAGTGCCTTAAGGTCGTTTCTCAGCTGATGCAGCTGGAGCCTTTTTCTTTCCGTGCTTCAGGGAGCAGATGTAGCAACGTAGTGGTTGTGGTTTCGGGTCTTTGCTGGGTTCGTTTTTGAATGCCTCAGCTTCTGCGGGAAGCGAGCATGTGCAAAGCTTCTCAGTATTTCGCAATGCAGCTTGGGACATTGCCTGCTGCAGTCATGAGGTTCGGGCGAGTGAAGCGCGGCTACTTTGGCATTTATGGCCGCTGCCTCGAAGCCACAAACGCCTTGTAGACTTACAGCGCGTGCAAGATGCAGCTTTCGGGTCCAGAATCTCGGTAGGTGCTGGTGAATGTACTGTTTAGCTTTTCCCAATTCGGACAGCATACTGTTTACATTAGACCTACTCTGGTGTAGCCAGTTCTTTACAGCTCAACTTCAATTGCTTAACAAGAGTTTACCAGTAGAGCCAGGAAAGCACACTTCGTTTGCTGCAGGCGGCGTGCGACCTGTGCAGCGCGAGCTTCAGCAAAGACCTTTGGCTCCACTTCGAATCGGACTTGCAGGGTTTCGTTTGACAGGCCTAAGTCAAAGCGCTATAGGCCCTAGGCCCCCAGGGACAGCAGAGAACATACAATGCTCCAAACTCTAACCCCCTCTGAAGTCGTAAACCCTGAAACCCAACAGCAAGCTGTAAGACCCAAAGCAATTCCTACGCTGCTCTCCCGTCTGAAGCGATACATCCTAGGCTTGCAGGTTCAAGAGCCAGAAAGCTCCAAAGAAACCTGCCTTTACGGAGTTTAGGGCTGCAGGTTTTGGCTTTGAGGGTGCAGGATTGTCGGGGGCTTTAGGGCTGTGGAATCTGGGGCTTTCAATATGTTCGGGTGCAGGTGAGACTGAATTGCTTTAGATGGGTCGGACACCAATAGACCCAAAATCCATGATGCAGTTCGAAGTGGGGAAATTCCGGCAGCCGAATGAGGATATGGTCTCCAGCTTCCAACAGTGGTGCAGGCTCTGGCTTTGGTGATGGGTTCGAGGGTTTTGGGGTACAAGGTTCCGGGGTTCAGAAGCTTGGGGCTGAAGGCTTTGGGTTGGAGGTGCGCAGCATAGGGGTGAAGAAGATGCTGGGTGGTTGGCTGTTCAGCAGTAGTGCGAAGATGCTTCAGGATGGGCAGGAGCGCTTGAAAATTACATGAATGTTTTCACATTTTGTTCGCTTGATTCTTAGGGTTGCAGTGTCAGAACAATGATAACTTTCATGGTCATAAGGTCAAGGTTGTGACATTGCACGATGGCTTCAGTGTGTCTTGCTAAGGCGAACTAAGTGACAAAGACTATGAGCATGGCAAAGGTCAGAATACTGGAAAGCGTGCTCCACAAATTACCACAAGTATCCGGAATATTCACATGCAGTTCACGTTATGAGTGTGATTCGCACTAATCCCCCTGTTGCATTGGGGCAAGCGGAGCGCGAGTTGTCGTGGTGGTGGAGGTGGTGGAAGCGTGAAGCTCTGTCTCAGGTGGCAGGCATGGATCCAGAAGGCCACCACTGCAAACGAGAGATGTTGAGAGCCTGCCGAAACGAGGAACATAATCATCAGCAGTTGTGGTAGAATCACCAGGGGTGCTCGTGTTGTTGGTGATGGTGGTTGAAGGTTGTGGTTGGTGGTTGGTGCTTGTAGTTGGTGGTAGCAGTCGCAATAGCAGCGGAAGCAAGCTCAAGTTGGTTATGCGGCTGCAGCAGAAGCGCGACTACTCCTGCAGTCCTGCACGGGTGTAGTTACAGCAGTGCCTGAGTTGACACCACTCGACATGGCCATGAAGGTGATGCCAATCACTTTGACATGAGCCTAAGTAGCCTTCGCTGTCCTTGCAGGACCTGCCGTTCGGGCGGGAATTCTTGAGGGTGATCTCATCGTAGCCGCCGACGACCAGTGACCTGCCCGGCAAAGAGGGGCTGAGACGTCAAATAGTCTATGATGCCTTAATCTAGCGGGATACTGGAAACCCTAACCTCCAGAATAAGGTATCCAAAGTCCTAGCTTGAATTTCCTGAAAATGACCAATCGGACCAGGCCTGTGTAGCCGCCGTGCCTAGTGGGAGCGGCGAGCGTCGAAACTCGTAACCCCACCAAGCTTTCCAACGCTCTCAGACGGGTCCCGAAGCCCAAAGCAAGCCCCTAGACCCTGTCCCCCGAAAGCCCTAAAGCACAGACCCCGCTTTGGCCAAAGTGCTTTCGTCGCACCAGTAACCTCGCTAGGCTTGTCCCAGTTGTGAGTGCTGAAAGCACAGACCCTAAAGATTCCGAAACCCGATGCCCACTACGCCCATCACCCGAAAAGCCCTGAAGGGCCATGTCTTGAGGCCTACAGGCTCCATGGACGATCTCTGGCGGATCCTCTCACAGCGGCCACCCGGTGCGCCTTTGTCGGGAAGCCTAGCGTGCACAGTCGTTCTCGCGATGATGATAGGCCTCATCCTCGACGGCAATGCGTTTGGATATATTGACATGCCCAGGCCACATCATTACATGCTTGATTCATCGATTGCACTTGACTGCAACACGCCCCTTCTGACAATCTCTCTCTCTGTCGCCTGTTTCTCTTCCTTTGTAGGTATGTACGGAGACATACATCTGGACATACATCCGGGGCCTGTTGAAAGAACGTTCAACACTCCACGACCCCTTGCATTTCAGAAGCCCTCCCCGATCTAGCAGCAGAGCTCTAGCTGAATCTAGTCAACGCGTCGACAAGGAGTGTCCGGGTGCTCCGACCGGTGCCGGGCAGCATGCAGCTCAAGAGCTACAGCCTCAGGCTCACGTGACATGAGCGTTTCGGGCTCAAGGCAAGCGTACTTAGGCTTCAGTTGCCAAGTTCTGGTGCTGGCCCTCATTCCTTTCAGGTGCCATGGCCTAGTGGCCCAGGCTGGAAGTACTGAGGGCTGCAATCTGAAGCCGATCGGTTTGGGCCCATGCGTTGATGGTCGAGGTGGAAGTGGAAGGTTCTGTCGGGTTTGAGCACTACTCAGTTCTACCCAATACCTGACCTTAAACTTGTTGGTTTCTTGCCCATGTCCTGCAAGTTAATTACATTGTATGACCCCTTCTTGTTGAGGGAAGCAAGATTGAAGACGACTGCTTGGCGCTTGGGTCAGTGATTAAGGGGAAGGGAAAATGCACAAAACCCCCAGGCCGCAAATCCAAAACCAAAGCCAGAACAGTTCCGGTACCCAGGTCTTCAACTTACCGTCCGGATCGAGGCACCGGGTGACCATTCAGCTGTCTAGGCTACAGCCGTAGAGTGCGGAGTGTTGAAGCACATGGCTGGTGCTTTATCAGCTAGACATCCCGCAACCGCGCAGTACTGCCGCACACTTCCAAACCCAAGCAGGAGTCCTGACCCCCAAACCTTTCAACAGCTCCTGTTGCAGGAGGATGTGAAAAGACTTCCAGGTGCCGGAGGCACGCACCGAATGATCTGTAAAGTTGAATTTCCGGAATCATGCTTAACATTTCGGAGGAAGGAGACAGATCGATAGACAAGTGGCCGACACCATCCGTAGAACTGCAAGAAGGATAGCAGAAACATGGCCAAAGCGACGCCAACAGCAGGAAGCACCTTTTCCGTCCAGCCGTTCTTGAATGGAAGCTGCAGCCACCCATATTCTTGCATGAGGCAAGCAGCAAATGTCACATCGAAGAAAAGCGTAGGAACCCAAGGCCCCCCTGCATTTCCTCCGCCGGCCCATCTTCAACTGCGCTCGACAAGACCCGCCCTGTGTAGGTCGGCACAAGGCGAAGAGTACAACAGCAGAGATGTGAGCGAGCAAGGATGCTGCCAAATGTAATTGCGGCGAGATGAGTCTTCAGGGTTGGCTGCAGCACTGAATCCTGCAGGCCGACAGCTTCGCCCGGCGCTCAACCGGGGGATGTCAGGCCTCAAAAGCTTCTGCTGTCGCGAAGACAATGCGCCAGGGACGAAGATGTAGGTAGCAGAGTTGGCAAAGCATCACTGAGGCCTCCCGCTTCAAGAACCGCTTCGGCCAGTGAGTGGAGATTTCAAGTTTCATTGATGCGGTTTGCCGTTGCAGGGCCAGTGGGGGTGCATAGGTCGACATTTCGCTGATTCATCGGGCTCTCTGGTTTTGGAGTGGAAGATTTTGGTCTCGGAAAGGGCGCTGAAGTCTTTCGGCGACCCAAAGTGACACTGCAGGTCTTTCAAGACACAGCCTTTAGTTATTTGCGGCGGCCGGTACAGTCCCTCGCGGGAGAGCCGCAACAAGAAACCGTTGACGCCAAATCGAGGAAGATTTGCACATGGACAGGATTGTTGGCTGCCGGCAATATTGTCGGCTGCACCCTTCGCCGTAAGCTCCAGACTCTAAGCAGGCCTTTAAGATCATGCTTCCCCGATAGACCCGGCGTCGAGGGCTGCCGGGATTTTCGAATCTTGATCACAGTACGATTCTTACTTACGCCTTTCGCCTGAAGGTTGCTTCAGACCCCCGGTTTTCGGCGGTGTTGCATGTTGTTTACGAGGACGGCGGGTTCTTCTGCATCCAAGTAAATCGAGGCCAAATTCAAGTTGTGCTGCAGAATTGCCAGGGAGTGAACTCAGAGCCTTATAAACTTGAGAGGCTTTCCACAGTTTTGACCTTCGCCACGCCTGGAAGCTCCCTGAACTGTCACGGCTCACAGCGGGCGCATGCCTGAAGGATGCCCCCCTCGTTTCGCCTGGCACACACGCACCTTTCGTAATCATGGATCGTACGAATCCGCACCCCTGGGAATTGCAAAAACGACTGCCAGATAGAAGTCAAAGGCGCGAGTGCTATTATCAGATTAAAGTCACAAGCGGCGCATAAAGGAGACAGTAGTGATCAGCAGTTCATCAGAGGCAGTTACCCAATGTACTCATAGTACAGTAAAGTCTGCATGAACTGCCAGTCTCCATCTCTTGAACTGAACCGCTTCTCTGGAGTCGTGAGGAAAGGTGGCAGACACCCTCCAACAGAATGTAATTCGCAGCCACAAGTTCAACACGCTGCGTGGATGCAGCAGGCAGCTACACCTCAACACATGGCTTCTCGAGTTTCTGCTTGTTTGCACGGCTTGTGTGAGGCTTAGACTTAGACTCTCCGTGGCGATGATGTCAACATGTCAGGCTGTAGCATGTCTGATACAGTCGGACTCCCGCGTCCTTCCGTTTGCTTTGTCTCATGTGATCGGACTCCCGTGTCTTGGGTTCTTGTTTGTGTGTCCTCGGTTCTCGTGTGCTCCAGTTTATTTTGTCGCATGCGGTCGAACTCCTGTCCTGGGTTCTTTGCGCTTTACTTTGTCAGATCAGATGCAGTCGGACTCCTGAGTCCCGGTTTCTCGCCTGCTTCGGTTTTCTTTCTCGCATGCCGTGCAGCGCAGCGAAACAATCCGCAATGGTATGAAGCAATGCTTGCTCGGCTCGGCGCTTGCAGGCCAATGATCTCGTACGGCGCTCAGCCACAGCTCCCTAGAGCAGTTGTGAGCAGAGCAGTCAGGCAACAGGCGAGAAACAGGACTGCACAGCAAATGAGCAACACATGCAACTTATGTAAATGCGGCCTCCACTTCAGGAGCGCATCCGGCCAGCGTGCAGAGACTTCGAGGTTCGGCGGCGTGTTTTTGGTTCATGTTTCATCGTGATGACTGCAGCTGAATTATGCTACGAAGTTTGAGAGCATGGCTTGCCCATCATCAGCCGGCTTGTGGCGTTTGGAGACTAGATGTAGATGCCGTCAGCGCGCGTGTTCCATGTCAGAAGGCTTGCGGCCTTGTGGTGTCTAGCACGTTGTTCTCACACGAGCCCTGGCATGAAAGTGCGGAAAAGGCAGTTGTAACGGGCCGCACCGTAGCAAGGTGCTCTAGCAACGCATCCGAAGCAACACTGTTGCAAGGGCTTACTTTGCGGAGAGCTCAAGCCCCTCAGCCCCCACTCGTTGCTATCAGCATTTTCTTCAAACTTCTTGTTATAGTCGATGGCAAATGGGTCTTGCATAGGCATCGTTACATATGCACAGTATGCACAGGCCTTGTGAGTGCAGTTGATCACTGAACGACTTCTGCACTTGTAGCCTTTGTGCTTTCGCGATGCTGGCGTACGTTTGGCCCAAGGTTGAACAGGAAGCCTCAATCCATCCAGTTGCCGAAAACCTGAATTCAATTTGTTCAACCTCTCTTAATCATGTGTTTGGTGTAGATTGCCGGGTATTCGAAGCGTACGGCTCTTTCCGATACAAGACCTTGGCCTTAACACGGGTTCAGCGAAGGCTTCAGGTTGGCCATAGGGCACTAGTCTCGGACCAGGCACTTGAGAAAACCGTGGTGCTAGAAGGCTAGTTCATAGCGTAGGTCAATCCGACATCCCTCCAATCCAAACGGGGCCAGGAGCCGCTTGTCAAGGCAGGGTATCTTGCGGTTTCGAAGCAGTTCAGGGTTCCATTGCCCTCACTTTATTAGCAGAGTGCTTGATATTCGTGGCTTCAGGCTTCAAGGAGCTCAGCTATCGAGCATGGATTACAGGTTCAGGGCTTTGCTACGCTCGAGGTGCTTTGGGCTTGTAGCGTTCAGAGAGGAAATTTGCAGGGTGGCGCGCATCGTGATTTGGAGTTTTATGTGTCTCGGAAGTTACGCGTCAAAAATAAATGAGCCGCCAACCGAAGTCTTCAAGCAAGGCGAACAGTCCGTCGAGTAAAGTTGCGCAGGTTCGTCCCGGGAATTTGCAACCTGAGCCCGATATCTAACATGAAAGCACGAGTCCCGGAGGTAGGGTCTTAAAGTCTGTTGGTGCTGATACTGGCACAGGCCATGGAAAAGAAAGCATATCGACGGTCCCGTTTGAAATAACACACCGAAGCTCACTCAATTCGCTGCGTTGGGACGTGAAGGGGGCATGTCTCTGTGCTAGCATCACCGGCTTGAAGGACGCAGGGCCTATTGCTGATGAGAGGCCGCATGGAGAATCGACACAATAACATCGTAGATACACATGCACAGTGTTCCGGCAGCTCTTTGGCCCGTTCGCAGACGCCAGCGAACCCCTCCGAGGTAACGTAGCCATGTCTTCGACGGCAGATCAGCCCCACATGTCCCCGCGAGATGTTAATGTTCTGTATCACAAAAATGCCCGGGATGCTGAGAACCACTGGCGCGCAGGGCGCTTTGAGGATGCAGCGTATCATTGGAGAATCGTGGTTCAGTGCCGGCGCAAAATTGCTGAGCGCCTCAACTTGAGGGCTACTTCACAAGGTTCACAGCAAGGTCATAGCCTTTACGATGATGGGCATTGGCAGGCTCTGTTGAATTCTGACAAGTGGCTGGATGAGTGTACCAATCACGTCGCCTTTGAGAACCGATCACAGCCTCTGCGCTCTCCCGCAGACGTACTTGCTGCTTTTCAGGCAATGCAAGCAGAGCGATAGAGCCGTAGATTTTTCAGTAGCAAAAGGCCGAAGCTGGTCTGGCTTCAAAGGAGGCATGCGCACATGGCAGGCTCCCATCAGACTTAAGCAGGCGACGACAAAAAATCTGAATGTCAAGCCCTGCCGCCTCTGCGTCTTGGTTTACAGTTCTCCGCCAAAGTGGACGCAGCTTAGGATGTCCTCTTAACAGCGGCTCTACAGTTCTACTACAGGTCGTCACGTCCTTAATTACACGGTGCATGAGGTGCATGCCCAATGGCTGGATGGTTGGGCTAGTGAGGGGGAGCCTTCGGAATCACAAGAGCACCCGAAACGCTAGAGCACGCCAGCTAGAAGCAGCTAGAACTCAAGCCTTGCAGGACAGATCTTCAACCTGGAATCGTCTGTGTGCACAAACTTTCGCCACAGGTCAAGAAGCAGGGGAGTGACGCGTGGCTTCAGCTGTGCATCGAGCCGATTTCGGGTTGATTGTTGAAGGGTTGTAGTGACTCGTGCGCGGGAGTTGAGAAGTGACAGAAAAGTGGGGAAAGCTCTGCTGCTTGATGATTCTGGGCACAAGGCTCAACACACAACATCCCCCTGAGCCCCGTACCCAAACCCTAGTCCTGCAATTAAGGCCGTCAGAATAGTGCTGCTCCAAGCATTTAGTTGAAATTACGGCAGCTGCTGCACAAGAAGACGAAGATGAACTGTTTTCCCCGTAGGGGGGTGTTGGCTGCCACAATTGCACGAGTGTTTCCCACATCATTTCAGCGCTGCGACCGAGTTGATGGAGTGAGTTTGTATGTTCGCCGACAGCAGGACATTCTGCCCGGTAGTACCCAGTCAGCAAGTAGCTTGTGATCTGCTTGGTGGGTTGCTGACATTTGTTGTTGTGCGGGGGCTCGGGATATTCGATCTTACTTATCTCAAACGCAATCCGGAGCGCAAGAGGTATCCGCGAGCACCCGAATGGGAGTGCTTCGAGCCCCTTCGCCCCGTTTCGAAGATGCAGCGATTTCGAGTCGCGATTTCGAGTCTTAGGAGCATGGACTTATGAAGCTCATGAGGCTCAGGGTTCAGATATTCGCTGTGTCTTGGAGCTTTGGTGTTTTTGGCGATCAGAACTCGCTTTGTTCAGCGTGTATCGGGCCACCAGGCGATTGACTAGCTGGACGACAGGCAAGAACCTACTCGAGACAAGTTGTGTAGCCCCAAACAATCCGAAGCCACAAGTTTTCAAGGATGTTGGCGAAATTTCCAAGTTGGACTAGCTGGCCGACAGGCAAGAACCGACTCGAGACAAGTTGTTGCTGAGGTTCGTCTAGCCCCAAGCAATCCGAAGCCGCTAGTGTTCAAGGATGCTGGCGAAATTTCCAACTGTTCCTAGCTGAACGACAAGCAAGAACCTACTCAAGACAAGTTGTTGCTGTAGGTTCGTCTAACCCCAAGCCATCCGAAGCCACTGGTTTGCAAGGATGCTGGCGAAATTGCAATGTTGCCGCCTTTGAAATCCTGTTACACTCCCTCATCGCGAGATTATCCGTCTGCAACGTCTACACCCTACCCAACTGCACCGTCAAAATGCTTACACATGCCTAGAACTTAAAATGCAGTGTTTCATTTAGTTGTGCATATCCACACTGTCTTAGGGAGGTATCGTCTTGTCGGTTATTCGTCTGCAGGACGTATGTATGTAACTGTATGTATGTATATATGTATATGTATAGCAGCGGTATGTGCACATGTAAACAGATGCATAGACAAATACTCTCACATATCGCTCCCTTCGTAATTCTGTGGTAGTCAGATTCACGTGCCATGGGTGTTGCCACAAGTTGCTGCTCCGATGAACACCCAGAGTTGAATGGAGGGGTCAGGGAGAGTTTGGCAGTGGGATTGAGGACTTACGGACAGAAAGCAAATCTGGGAATCTGCTGGGTCTTGAGGGCTGGGTTACGTGGCATGTGTGTTCAGGATTTGGTGCTGGGAAGCTTTGGCTTGGGCTCCAACTTGACAAGTAGCATCTCGCTGTCTCACAAAACTTTGTCTAGCAGAACAGCCCCGCTGAGCAGCACAGCCCTATCTAACATTCCAGTCGAAAGTTCTGCTTGTTGTCAAATCCTGGTTAAGATGTATGTTTGTAGCAAGGTCTCAAGGCTCTTGACGCTGCGCCTGCACAAAAGCAAACCATTCCTTCATAAACTGGGTTGCTGTTAAGGAACTTAGTTTAATGGGTAAATAAGGTAATTAATATGGTTTCCCCAATATGGTCACTCGAATTATGCTTCTTAGCACTAATGTGTGCGGACATGTTGGGTTGGCCCTCTCGCATTGGAGTGTAGCTATTCCTGAAACACCAGATGTGACTCTCCGCACTTAGATGGTTATATCTCAGCGCATCGGCCCTTTGATATGAGCTACTGACTGCTGGTCTCAGATGGTGAAGCAGGTAGCAGAAGGGTGGATGCTTTTATGAATGATATTCTGGCGGCATCCAAAGAGGCAAGGGCTGACGCATCGGCCACTGCCAACGTATTGAGGCTACGAGCTTGTGCATCCTGGGAGGGCAGTCAAACATCACTTGGATTTGGCCGTTTGCCACGTGTTGCAACACGTCGGAATGGAGGTTGTTCATTCTCGCACCATGGAAGGAGAAGTTTCGGATGTTGCAATGCCTCGCACTCTCATCGTTCGCAGCTCAAAGATAGCTCGGCAAAACCCAGGCCCGATTGTGCGACTATGCGCAGTTTATTGCACCTTCAGTTTCCACGTAAACCAAGTCTCCATTTTGCTCCACAGATTAAAGCAGACTCCATGCAAGCCTAGCTTACATTTCAATCTCCATTTTCATGTCCGTTTATTGATTACGTATATCGTTAACTGGGGTATAGGTAGAGTCGAAGTTGAAGAATACAGCCATGGCCGTGAAGCGGCTCTGCAGCATCCTGCTTGTCGTAAGCTTGGCCGTGGTGGCTCGTGCAACTTGCCCGGCGCATTGCACAGCAACCTCAAACAACGCTGCCTGGCCATGCCGCTATCATAGCAACGGATGTCAGGTGGGTGGTGCTCAACAAGGACCCCACATCCCCCTGCAATTCCTATACATGTTCAGGGTAGTCCTGTGTTGCGAGACCCCAGGTGACAGTGGCGGCTAACCCTGCACGGGTTGGTGCCGCAGACGTTAATGTTGCGGTGATTAGCCCATATAGTGGCGGCCTGGGGGAGCTGATGACCATGGTTGAGCCTGCGATTGCAGCGGCGGCGCAGGATGTGGAGAACAGCAACTTTCTACCCGGATTTCGGATGAACCTTTTCCTGGGTGACTCCAAGTGCTCAGTGCCAGGTGCCACGCAGGCGACCATAGAGACCCTGGCGACAAGCCCCACGAAGCACGCCCTTCTGGCTGACTCCTGCAGCGCAGCATGCGAGGCCATGAATGACGCTACTCAGTTCTTCAATGTCTTGCAGGCAGCAAACCCAAGCAAGCCAGATTTCAAACCATGGGTGCCCTGCGCTCCGTGCGCCAGCATGTAGGCTACAATCGCAAATATGTCTTAACCCGAAACTTTCCGCTATGCAGTGCTGAAGCCCCAATTCAAAGGGTTGTGGCAGGTCTCTCCCGGATGTATCTCGGAAAGCCTGAGTGACTCCGCACGCTATCCGTATTTCACGCGCATGGCTCCGTCATACCGCTTCAATGTCCAGACGCTCTACGAGTGCCTCTGAAGTGAGCCTCGAAGTTTTGTAATGGGAGGGTAGTTGTGATTCGGTGTCTGGGACCTGCAAGATCCCATGCAAGCCTGGCAAGTTTCACTTCAGCCCAGCTTAGGTTCACCAAGCTCATGGGCTTTCAGCGAGTCGGGATTGTTGTCGGATATCGGAGCATCAACACACTCGGTGTAGATTTCCTTACCAGTCTAATGCGAGACGACGTGGCGGAAGGTCGTTACAACTGGACAGTGTTGTTCACGGCGCAGATCACAAGCACAGGCAACATTGAAGATGCCCAGAGTGCCGCTGAGGAGATAGAGCGCAAGGACTCCCGAATAAACATCATGGGGTTGTACCAGACCGAGGGGGCGATGTTTTTGTGCCAGACCCACGGGCGAAATCTTCTTTCCCCATCCTATACCTTCATGATTGCTTCCGGATGGTGGAATCCTAGCTTCATCTTAGAGAGGTCAGGCGCAAGCGACTGCCCCTGCACGGTCACGGAGCTGCACCGTGCTGCATATGGGGTCATTGCAGCAGACCGCGGCCCCATGTTGAACACGCAAGATGTACATGGTCTCTCCGGTCGCAGCTTTGCGGACATTTACGGCAATTACACAGAGGAGTGCTTGAGCTTTGGTAATGGGACAGGGGTTTGCAATCATCAGTGGGCCGGATATTTCTACGACGGCGTCTGGCTGATTGCCAGCATCCTTCACGCCTTCTTGACGGATGGGAATAGGCTGGGAAAACACAGCTGCAAGCAAGGGAAGTATACCGTGTCAGCAGCCTAGAGATAATTTCAATGCGATTGGGCGCTTTGTTGAAATACTTTTCAAACAGGTCGGTCGCCGACCTGGCTACACCTGCTGCCCGGCAGGCTTTGGAAGCCCTTTCGCTTCAGGTGGATTTTGCGGGCACCACTGGACGCGTGCGGCAGTTCAGCAGCCCAGATTTAGAGGGAGATCGAGATGGGGTCATCCTGCTTCGCCAAGCAGGGGGGCCTCCTGAAAGCACCTTCAACCAGTTGGCCTACCGCACAGAGACGGGCATCCTCTTCCAAACGGATGTGGTGTGGAGTCCCGACTCAGCCCACCGCATCAGCTGTAGCAGTGGCACTTGCGACCTCGTCAATGGCTTTCGGCCGGCAGATCGTAGCAGCAGCTGTCCAGATGGCAGGGTTTGGATCAATGAGCAGGGCTGTTCAGAGTGTCCACAAGGGGAGTGCCTTGGATCAAAAGGTGTTTTGTGTTGTGCTCGCGCGCATTCTGGCATTTTGGAAGGTTTGCTTCCAACCAGATGGCCCAGTGTGAGCCATGCAGCATTGGCTCTTTTGCCAGTGCTACAGGATCTGCAAGCTGCCAGTTACTGGGCCAGAACTCAGAGTTCACACAGTTCCAGCCTGATAACCTAAGCCCGAAGTGAGGGCTCCAGCCCTGATTTGGCAGTCATGCTTCTAGACTGAAGTGGTAGCAGTTGGACCTCTGACCTTGTCCTACTGTGCGAGGCTGTGCTCGGCTGGACGCTACTCATCGGTCGCCAGGGCCTCCTCCTGTGCGAATTGTCCAACAGGCGGACGGTGGAGAGCCGGGATTGTTTCTTCCGTTGGTTGATAAATCTTGAAGTCTGTGTTCCCATCGCCCCCCCCGTAGAATATCCAACTCGCCGAGTATCCCCAAGGGCGGGATGTTCGAAGTAGATAATTCAGACCGTGTTGGCTTGAATTGCGGTGCACGCTTTGGTGCCCGAATCGGTTAAGGACTTCCTGCGGTCACAGTGTGACATAGCATGGGAGAGATGTTGGTTGACAAACCTGTCTGTGGTAGCTCTCGGACAGCTCGAAGTATCAAAGCGCGAGAAGAAAATCACAAGAGTCATCCTGGCACAAGTGACGAAAGGTAAGTGCAGATGAGACAACCTTGAGCGAAAGTACGACCAAGCCGACCACGAGAAAAGGCATGATAGGAGAGCGACGCAAGGCACCGGAGGAAGTGCTAACAAGGCAACGAAAAATCATTATCAGAGATTGGTTGCAAGGCGAAACTTTAGTCAAAACTCTGTAATGTCACTCGGGAGCAGAAATGGAATGGAACGAAGGACATGGCTAAGCCAGGACAACGTTCAAAAGAAGCTAACTCCACCTACCCGCATTCACCACTTGTCGTAATACAGGTTCATGCTCGACCCATCTCAGACCTTTCGGACGTCGCTAGACTTGGTTAGACAAATTCTTTGTTTTCGACAATGAGTTAAGTTGTCTTCTCCAGAAAATGGTCGGAAATTGCAAGCCAAGTCTTGTCGGTTTTCACCGCCGCGGGGGTACGACTCCGATCGATTTCCCAAGCCCCCATAATTTAACTAATTCGACAAATCCGTCTGAGAACACCAATCTGATTTCAGAATTCCTTCAGATCAGTTTTTGATCAACTTGTTTGAAACATCAACCAAACTGCTACCCGTTCTGGGACGCAGTTTGCTTTCTGTTTGACACGTAGTGGGTTTCTGTTTGGTGGTAGTTATTTGGTGTCAGTTTGATTCCTGTCTTGCTGTGTCGCCAGGACTACGGGAAGCAGTTTGGGTTCTGGCCCAGGAATAGGGGTAGCAGTTTCGGTTTTTTTTTTTTGGGGGGGG